TCAGCATCCAGCGTTATTCATGTTTTTTTAGGACATATTCCGTGCAGTTTTCTAAAGAAATATTGAAATATTAAAAAGATAGATTAGCTATGGACAAAATATCCCGCGGGAGACCAAATTTGTAGTCAAACAGTAACGGTATCTGTAGTGACGCCATGGAAACTTGGTCTGGGATATGCAGTGTAACATCTGTTAGCATCTGTTAAACAGTGAAAGCTGCCATGCTGAGCTCCAGATCTTCTCCTCTAGCAGCTGATAACGCTGCCATTTTAGATCCACAAATCTGCTTGGCTGGAAACATTTCATCATCTCTGAATGATGCGTTGTAACATTACCGCTATTATTTCAATATTAATTTGATTTATAATCACATTTCAATATGACATAAAGAGCATTATAAATAAAATGTATTATTATTGTGGGCTAAGGTACAGATCTTTATTTCGTTGCTGCTAATGAAATTTCACAGATCTATACATAATTAAATAGGATAATTTTTTGCTGCTTACAGAAATACTTTTCTATTTGGAAAAATTGCGTTTTTGAACAAACTGAGTGATCTGATAACTGTGATCCTCTGATAATTCATCTAACATTTAACTGCAAACTACAGCTGACGTGTGTTTATTCAAACTAATCATCAAAGAAAAGTCAAGAGCAGGATCTGCAGAACATTTGGTTGATGTCTGTTGGGTTTGATTCCTGCAGTACGACTTTATTGGCTGGATGCCCAACACCCCGGTGTCCCTGGAGCGCCCACCGCCTTCCAGAAAGGGGGAAGCTACAGAGGAAACGCTGCTGCACACATTTCCTGCTATGGACACGACCGTGCAGGGCATGGCAACAGTTTGGCTGCTCAGCCAGCCGTCCACTGACGCGGCAAGTAGTGGCTCTGGTTCTGGTAACATGTCGCCAAACAGCGCCACCTCGTGGTTCTGGTCAGAAACATTGCAATACAGCTGCAGTGCCACCAGGTGGCAAAAATGCAGCAAATACTCAGGTTGACTGAAGCATTGTGTCATTTCTCATGTCTGAAGTGGAAACAAAAGTCCTTTATGGCTCTAATTTCCAGAATAATAATTCATAAAGTCCAATTCTGGGTAGAGCTTATCCTAACCATAAAAATAATGTATTTTATTTCCAGAGATCTAGTTTACATCTAATTACCACAGACAGAGTTTAGAGTCATTTCTAAACACATTAATTTTTTGACATCATAAACAGACATGTGCAAACAGAGCAGAAAATTATTATAATTTTGATGAGATGTGTTGTACCCTTGATGGACATTTATACAGCACCCTCTACAGGCAACTCTATTAACTAACAGATTTTTGACCTGTGTGTAAATAATGACTGAAAGCAGCCTGATCATTCCTCTGATGTCAACAGGAGTATCTTGGGAACTACCCAGAGCAGCGCTTCACTGAAGATGTTCCCCTCGAGAACATAAAGGTCTTCAAAGAGCAGCTTGAAAAGCTGAGTCTTAAAATCTGCCAGAGAAACGAAGGTCTTGATCTGCCTTACACGTACCTGGACCCGAAGAATGTGGAGAACAGCGTGAGCCTTTAGGCCGGATCCTCCATGGTTCCAGTTGAGTTCAACCTGAACAGAACCGCATGGCGAATGTCTGGGGGATTCTGGATTGGTGGAGGGAAAATACGACTATCTTAGAAACTTTAATGATTAAAACTGTTTCCATAGAAACCGGAATGACTAAAACTAATGTTTTCATATGAACTTTAATGATTAAAACTGTTTTCATATAAACTTTAATGATTAAAAACTGTTTTCATATAAACTTTAATGATTAAAGCTGTTTTCATGTAAACTTTAATGATTAAAACTAATGTTTTCATATGAACTTTAATGATTAAAACTGTTTTCATATACACTTTAATGATTAAAGCTGTTTTCATGTAAACTTTAATGATTAAAACTAATGTTTTCATATAGACTTTAATGATTAAAGCTGTTTTCATATACATTTTAATGATTAAAGCTGTTTTCATGTAAACTTTAATGATTAAAACTAATGTTTTC